AGGCTGGTCGATGTTAACCAACGTTTCAGAGGTCATACTGCCTCCGTCATCAGGGCGATGAATAACATCGACCAGACTACACAGCGCAAGAACCCAGAAGACAGAAATCTTCATACGTCGTTTGCCGGGAATCAAACAAAGGACACATTTTTGCGGTTGTAATCTTTAGTTTTCTAATTTCTTCGGGTTCGAACAATTTTCGTTTGGCGCCGTTCTTTGTTCCTGCTTAATATCCGAGTTACAGGATCCGTCCACACCGGAATGATATTCAGAACACGTTCCCAGAAATCTCGACTATGTTGTGGTCTCAAGGAATAATAATACCAAGTTTAGTCCAAATCGGTCTCTTCTCGAGATGTAAGCTACTAAAAAAAAAAAAAATAAACCGGCAATATCAACTATATATACAATTCCTATGCACACAAAAATATAAAAAATGAATTAATATTACAATTTTTGAAATGTACGCTTGATGTTGTCATATGCTACCTTAGCGCCGCGTAGTGGGAACTGCGGACTAGTACTTTAGACGCATTGCTGGGTGTACCGGCCATCGACCTTTAGCAAATTTATAATGGCCGACTATAACCGTTTTGAAGCGAATTTGCATGCCCCAGTCACATGTGCTCAGCCTTGGTGGAGGGGCTAGAAAGAGAGGATACAATTTTACAGTTTAAGTTGAAACAAGATGAAGTTCTCTGAGGTTAAGAATGAGTAGGAGCTATACCGTCTCTCCCCCCAAGCGCCTACATGGTGCATAGCTTTACCCATTACCTTATGTGAAATCTTTATTTAGTCTATTTGAAAAGAAATTTATAATTGTCTGAATTGCACTTCTGTCTCTCTCTCTCTCTCTCTCTATATATATATATATATATTGTATTTTTTATGACTTCTTCCACGTGTATTGTCATTTGACTAACTTACGGATCTGGATCCAAGGAATGGAATAATATGTATAGTCATGAATCGAGACCAGCGAACATTATCAACGCTGCTGTCAGTCAAACATTTCACACCTTTTTCTTTCAGATCGCAATGTTCTGTATTTAAAGGGTTTTGTGCTTTCCGGTTGGTCTCCTGGACAAATACCAAGCGATCAAGTCCCTTCCTTTCTTGCTCATAGTTGGTCGCCCTGCCAGTGGAATCATGTTCCGTACTTGATATGGTGTTGATAAATGAAACAAGAAAGTAATCTTAATTTTACGAGATTGTTGTAAATGTTTGTGTTCGGTGAGCTAGACTCTGGAAGAATTCTTTGCCGTTACACTCTTAAATAATTAAGCCTTTTTGTCATTCAGGGTGATTTATTGCAGTCTGAAAACAAGAAATATACAATTTATCTTCATGTTGTAGATTATTTCAATCTGTTTTCCTTTTTCTTCTCAGGTCATGTCTGGGGAAGAACAAGGAGAGATGAGGTCTCTCCCGATTGATTCTGATGGTGAGTCGTGTTTTATTTCTAGCAGCCGAAGGAATGTTTTGTGCTTCAGAGTGGATATAATGTGTGTTCTGTAAGAAAAGAGAGACTCTCCTGGCTGTCTTCTTGCGCCTCTACATAATCTACTGTTTCTTTTAGGAGCTGGTCCTTCCACACGGGAACGGAAGGAAATATGAGCCAGAGGATGAGCTATGCCCAGGACTTACATACAAACTAGTGAGGACTGAATTCAAAGTTTCCGTTGAGGTATACCGTAAACCTTTTACTGTAAATGTTCTGTTATGTCTATGATTCTAAGTCTGTGGGGTGTCATGACTTATCTTGGAGCAGATAAGGGTTGTAAGTGTATGAATATCTTAAATGAATTACCTTGAATCTACAACCTCATGTGAATGAAGGGCGATGGGAAAATTTTAACACAACGTTCTTGTAACATGTGATTCGTGTATGTATTGAACACTGCAGAAATTCACACCTTCAACAAAACTAAAGTATTTTTGTTGTTAGAAGGACTGGGGTTTTCTGAAAAATGAAATGCAGACTGTGCAGTTACTTAAAAAATGTTGTAGACAGACGTTACAAAATGTAAATATCGCAAACATTAGCAGAGAGCTCTTCCCCAAAATATTGTACATGTGGCAAACCAATAATAATAATAATAATAATAATAATAATAATAATAATAATAATAATAATAATAATAATAATAATAATAATAATAATAATAATAATAATAATAATAATAATAATAATAATAATAATAATAATTCAATTACCAGCCAACAGAAACATACTCGTGCGAGAAGTGTCGGCAATCTGTAATTTTCCTAGTATCCAGGAAAATGTCTCTTTTGTGCTACGTCTGTAAGTTTATGGGGTTTGGCATTTGTTACTTCTCCCCCAAGGACCAGTTGTCTTCATAGAGTTTTTGTGGTTAGTAATGGTCGGGTTTTTATAAGGAAAGGAAAATCTGAGGAGCTAGCCAAGCAAGCTGCAGCGAAGGCAGCATTAGCCACATTTTCACCATCGCTGCAGCCAAATGATCCATCAGTGTCCTCTCAGCAGATGGCTGATCGCATATCCGGGTGAATAAGTTTTCATTGTTCTGGAGGACACAGGAAAAACCTTGAAGATGGCTGTCTTCGGGGTTGTAGCATTTAGCAGTGTTTCAGAGGTAATCGCTGCCTCTGAAATGTCAGTAAGCTGCTACTGGACTACACTCGCCACAACGAGAACCCCGAATTGTATGCGAGCAAACCTTGTTCGTGCAGTGTTCAGAAGACTAAAGGTTAAAGATTTCAGCAGCTGAGAAACATGCCAAAACCACTGGAAGCAACAAGGTTTCTTTGTATGATATATTGTTTAAGTCTACAAATGCCAGTAGATGCTGGTAAGGGAAATGGTCTAGATGTAAATGCAGAAATAATTTAGTATATCGTTATATTTTATCAACAGAATGCAGGACAGAGTCACAATACAAAGATATTTTAAAAATATGGCGAGGTTAAAATTTAAGGAGCAAAAATAACAAATATTCACAGATAAATCGATAGTAGATTTAAGTTCGGAGAATGTATGATGCAGTAGAATTCAGAATCTTTTATCGTTCTGCGTTCTGTCCAAAAATGTAGCATTTAAAACACGAGCAAAGCCGTCACCTTCCCTGGTTTTTGTTTGGACGTGAATCTTGGTCTCCCATCCTAAAGGAAGAAAATTGAAAATGAAAAATAAGATTAAGTGGTGATACCTTGTTTGAATTTGGTATTGAACCTTCAGGTTTCATGACAGGCAGATTTTTTTGACTCATCTTCTTAAAAGGGCCCTGCTCACTAGTGTTCATGTTTATACAGAGGCAGTGTTAAATTATGGCCAGTTGTGTGCATGGTGATGAATTGTAGATTATGTTACTGGAAGCTGGACAAAGATTAAAAGCTGATGTAAGGCAGGACACTTAGTGAAGATGAATATACGAGGCTCGTCCACAAAGTAAGTTTCCCTGGGGCCGTTTACAGAAACAAAACACAATTTCATGGAAATATTTATTGCAACAGATACAGCAAGTGTCCAGCTATTTTTCAACATATTCGCCACCGGAATCGAGACATTTGTCATACCGTGGGACCAACTTTGGAATCCCTGTGTCCGGGCTGTAGGGTGGATGATTAAACACCTCCCAGCTGAACTTCTGCAGGAGACTTGCTGTCCGTCGAGCCGTGTGCGGCCTAGCGTTATCACTGACCGCACTTCACAGTCGGCTGGAGCTGGAATAAGAACCTCCATCTTCAACAGCTGCAACGATGCTACTGTGAGAACGCGGGAAGTGCCGTTAGTGCATGCGCCATGCTACGTCATTGCTCTATCACGTACGCACAGTCGCTTCGCGCAATATAAGGTTTGCTAGCTGTGGGACGAGTGGGAAACTTACTTTTGGGACGCGCCTCGTATTCTGTCTGGTAAATAAACCAGGAAAGTAAGTGAATTCACTACAAAGGTTGGGGTATGCTCCAGATGAAAGTTGTACTTTTATGTGAGGTAGTACTTATATTTTCAGAGGTGTTATAATGAACAGAATTTAATAATTTTACTCGCTCTGTCTTCGCCCAGGTTGGTGATAAGCAAGTTTACAGAATTGACTGAAGGACCTGCCTGTGCATTCTCAAACGAAGGTTTTGGCAGGTGTTGTCATGACTACAGACCATCAGATGGAAGATGCAAAAGTCATATCAGTGGCCACAGGCACCAGATGCATCAGCGGAGAATACGTGAGTTTGGTTGGAGTTTCGCTGAATGACACTCATGCTGAGGTTATTGCCCGTCGTTGCCTTTGCGATTTCTTCTACGCTCAGCTGGAGATGCACGACGACTCAGGTTTGCTTCAAGTTTTTCTTATATTATTTTTTACGACCAGGATGTCATTTATTTTGTACAAAAAATCCTTCTGGCCCATTCAGCATGTAAACCAGTTACGTGGCGTACTTTTATTTTATAGTGAAATGTTTAACCCATACCAATATATTGATGTTTTTTAATGCAGCGAAAATATACACTGCCACTTTATAGTTTGTGTGTGTGCGCGCGCGTGCCCACCCATGCATCGTACATTTTCCAGTACGTAATGTGAGGGATGTGTCTTCATAATTTGTTGTGAGATGTCATTTTTTATCTGCCGTCTGGTAACACTGCGGTGATCACAAGGTGGTACGAAGTTAGGCCGGGGCAGAATACACATGGAAGAATCAGGTGAAAAGGCATTAAGGCTGGTCACTGTAGCATCTGGGCAGCCTATTTGTATCTTTCCAGAGTTGAGTCGTCAGTGACTGTAATGAAGTGTGTGATAGATGATCAGAAAATCTAAAACAGTTTTTGATAGAGTAAAAATTAATTAACTCAGAAGCAAAGAAAAGTGTGGAATAAGTGCATTGGCAGTAAGGGACAGAAAAAAAGATTTGAAAGAACGCCGACTCGGATTCATTTGAATCCTCCGTTTAACTTGCTTCAAAGAAATCGTTTTTCGCACGAATACAAGGTACCCGTCAGATGTAAATTGGTTTTGAAGAAGTGCAGTCTTGTTTGTTAATTGCGCAAAGGATATCATTTGTTTATGTGAATGATGAAGTTATATTTTTATTTTTCTTAAAATTTCATTACAGTTACTTGCCAAGCTCTGCGTCTGGCCTTCAGGCCATGATGAAGTCCTTTCTGAGAGACAGGCGTGTTTACTTGTATACCATATCTGGAATTAATGCTGAAGTCTTTCTGGAATAAGCATTTGAAGGAACAAATTACATGTACAATTTGATTTAGCCGTGTATCAGCATAACATTCTCTTGCTAGTTGTTCATGTGCTGTTTTGAAACTGTAACATTTTCTTTTTTGTAATTTCATAAACATCAGAAGATTCAATTTTTGTACCTCGACCTACTGGTAACGGTTATCAGTTAAAGGATAACGTAAAATTTCATTTATACATAAGCACTGCGCCCTGTGGAGATGCTGGGTTTGTATTGAAGCTAAGATGACGTGCTTTATTGATCTTTGCTTTGTAAATGCGAGGAAAGCTCCAGATAATGAAAGTTAAACGTATCCATCGCTGCATTTGGGTTTCCTTTTTCTCCTCTCACTTTTCCGCTCACAGCTCACATTTTTATGTCTGTTCTTCCAGAGCGTAAAAATGTGGCTTTTTCTTGGCTGTCAGTTAGAAGACGAAGGGGTAAATAAAATTGAAAAGTATTGATCAGAACAGGACGTAATGCCTGGGTTTTGTGATGGTGATGATGAACCTTTGGGTTATATAAGAACGTGGCAATGATTGAAGAGGTGTAAGTAGTCGGGAAGGCTCATTAATTTCGTGTACCAGATAGGTCCTAAAAATAATTTAAGAAGTTTGAATTATGACAGTTTTCTAAAACATTTTCCGACTAAAACACCATTTTCAGATGAAAAGTTTTGAAGTATAGTGAAAATAAATTAACGCTGTCCTGCTACTTGCCATGTAGGTACTTTGGGAGGGGGTGGTGGTTTAGCCCCCTACTCATGGCTAATCTTGCCACTAGATAAGGGCGAGTACAGTTTCTAACTCCATGGAGCAGAGTCTGCCTTGAGAAACTGGTAACACTTCTGCTGGTTAAGAAATTCCTACCTTTCACGGAAGACGAAAGTTTATTATTGTTTTCACCAGATCTCGTCACTGAACTGTAACATTTAAAATCTGGTAACGATGAATTGCAAAAGTTTGCTACCAACCCTTTTCTGATTGACTTAGAATTAGGCAAACAGCATACCTTATACCAGTCTTTACTTCTTAGCGTTCTTTAAAGTGTTCAGCTTACAGTTTAGTTGTGAAATTTTTTGGCTAATTCTAGTTAAAAGGAAGTGAATTTTTTGTATTACTTTTTGTTTTGAGGATGCTTTATCATGAAATATTTTTCAGATGCCTATTATTGAATCTGTTCGTGTTCACGTCTGTTGTGTTTTTTAAAGGATCTCTTCTCCTCATGAGGCTGTATCTCAAGATAAGCATCCAAACAGAAAAGCACGAGGACAATTAATGACAAAATTAGAGCCTGGTGAGAAAACTGTCCCAGTGAAGTCAAGAAGTGCCCATTTTCAAACTTGGGATGGAATTGCACTGGTAAGTCTTGGCCTTAATCTTAAAAAAAGGAGCATCCTGTTTGTACAAAGCTTTAATTTACAGATAAGTACTAGTAACATAAGATATAGAGGAGACGTAGGTACAAGAGGAGATGATGGAGAAATTTTATTTATTTTATTTCCCAAATTAGTTGCTTTTATATGCAACATATTTATTCCACGTGATTTTAAGGAGCACATAATCTTGCCAGCAGAAAACATGCTTCGCGCTATTACTGCATGTTCTCCTATTCAGTGGTGAGTCCATGTTTCACCACCTGTCGCTATGGTTTGAAGGGGTAGTATCTGCATCCTGTATTCTGGAGTTAGAATTCTGAGTACGCTACTGACATTTGGCATTCGTAATTTTTCTTAAACAATGGGGAAAGCACTGCTTATAGACATCCTGCAACAGATATGGATTTTAATACAAGTGTCTTTAGTTGTCGTAACTTATAGTAAAAGAAACTTGACGCAAATAATCTTTGGCCACTGAGATGACATTGGTTGTGAAATGTACCAGCTCAGTGGAGGGGACATAGGACACAAAGAATCAGTCAGACGTTGGCTGTCAATGCCACGGTGTGGTTAATGTTACGAACATGTATGGCTTTTAGCAGTGTTCCCGATGGCCCAAGTGTGTGACGCAGAACAGTACTGTATGGTACCGGGTCTTCAATTTATGCGGTAACGGCCTTGCTTGCATTGCGTGGTCGGCTGGCGATCTAGTGACGTCGGCCGGACTGGTCCGTGTTCTTCCCGTGAACACAGGCGAATCAGTTTCATTGCGTCTCTCGTCGCGGATTGACGTTGATAATATGGTGTATAGTATTAAGCAACGTGTGTTCTTAGTCGAAACATATGCCAAATATTCATTCTACGGAAGATGCCGCTGTAAATTTCGCAGACATTTTCCTGGTGAAAGTGTTCCTAGCAGGCCCATGATCGAGAGCTTAGTAAAAAAATTTCGTAGTACGGGATCAGTTTTGGATAAAAAGAAGAACAGGAAACGACAATTCATTTCGGCAATATCCCAGAAGAGCTTCGTCGAGTATTTCGAAACATGTTAACGAGATGTGAAGCTTGCCTGCAAGCACAAGGAAGTCACTTTGAACATCTTTTGTGATTTAAGGCAAGAACAATTAATGTAATAACATGTACCAGTGACGAGAAACACTTGCAGCTCCCTGTTATTAGCAGCACTGAAACTGATTCGCCTGTGTTCACGGGAAGAACACGGACCAGTCCGGCCGAAGTCACCAGATCGCCAGCCGACCACGCAATGCAAGCAAGGCCGTTACCGCATAAATTGAAGACCCGGTACAAATAAATAAATTTTGGATCTGTATTTATCGTCGCACCTGTGTTATTCTTTAACTGCAAGTGCACAGGAAGGTCTTCAATGTAGCACTACAACTAATTTTCTTCATTGTCTTGGTTTCAGTACTTTGGCACTTTGCGTGGGCAAAGTGTTCAAGTAAATTGTGCTTAGAATTACCAGTAGGCTGTGAACGGTATTAAATAAAGCGTGTGTGCAGTGGTTGCTTAACAGCACCTGCGCTGTTACTCGTCCTTGTGTCCACTACTTTACATCAAAAGTGTAATTGTAATTATACAAATCTGTGAATGTGGTTGGTTCCTTTAGGGCGAGAGTTTGCTGACAATGTCATGTTCTGACAAAATTGCTAGGTGGAATGTTGTCGGAGTGCAAGGATCGTTACTGTCACATTTTGTTGAACCTATTTACCTAGAGAGTATTACGCTTGGAAGTTTACGAGCTCTGCATAGGCAGGTTGTGCAGAAACCGGGGCAGTCAGCCCTGCCCCGCCCTGCCTTGCCTTGCCCTGCCCTGCACTGATCTGCCTTGCCATGCCTTGCCTTGCCCTGCCCTGCCCTGCCCTGCCTTGCCTTGCCTTGC